CTTATGAAAGCCATAGATGCTTTGGATAGAGAGGAAGAAATTAATTCTCTCTCTGAAGTTGATTTCAATAGAAGACAGGGGCTAAAAGAGTGCTTCATTGAAACTACTTTCACTGAGCAAAGATTGTGGATGCAGAAAGGGAAAATAAAATGGCTGCAAGAAGGAGATGAGAACACGAATTTCTTTCACCGATGGGCTGCACACAAGAAAAACCGGGCCTACATAGCTGAAATTCAAACTGAACAGGGCACCTCTTTGACTAAATGGGAAGATATAGAAGCAGAATTCTTGAGATATTTCTCCTCCTTGTACTCCACCACCATGGACAGAGGCTTTTTATTTGAGAATTTGGAGTGGGTTCCCCTCCAAGACTCCCATATGGCTATTCTAGAAAACCCCTTTACAAAGGATGAGATAGGAAAGGCAGTGGTAGATTTGGGCACTCATAAATCTCCGGGTCCAGATGGAATGAGCAATGAATTTTTTAAAATGGCTTGGAACATTATTAAATCGGATTTGGTTACTGTGTTCCACGATTTTTTCGGAATTGTCAACCAGAAGACTAACGAAACTTACATTTGTTTGATTCCCTCAAACCCTCTGAAAGTCAAAGATTATAGGCCCATTAGTCTGGTCACTTCTTTATACAAAATTATTTCTAAGCTGCTTGTTGCCCGTTTGAAGCAAGTGCTCCCTAGCATTATTCATGATGCCCAAGCAACCTTTGTGGAAGGTAGGCAAATCCTTGATGCTATTATGGTGGCTTCTGAGACAGTGAGTCAGTGGAAAAACTCGAAGAAAAAAGGCTTTCTCCTCAAACTTGATTTCGAAAAGGCTTATGATAAAGTAGACTAGGATTTCCTAGATGTTGTTCTGGAGGCAAAAGCGTTTGGGGTTCGGTGGCGTAGGTGGATTAGGGGGAGCCTTTCTTCAACCAACTTTTCTGTGTTGCTTAATGGAAAGCCTAGAGGTAAAATTAAGGCCAAGAGGGGCTTAAGACAAGGGGATCCCCTCTCCCCTTTTCTCTTCACGATTGTGGGTGATGCGTTGAGTAAATTAATTCACTTTTGTAATGAGAGGAATATTCTAAAAGGTTTCAATATTGGAAATAGTTCCTTAGAGGTGACTCACCTCCGATATGCCGACGATGTGCTTATTTGCTACCCCTTTTCAGCTCAACTAATGCAGAATTGGTGGGGTCTCATTCGTGTGTTTTTATTGGCTTCGGGTCTTTCTCTGAATGTCTCAAAAACTGCTGTGATTGGTGTTAATTGCACAAGGTCAGAGGTTAGCTTCTGGACTTCCTCTTTTGGTTGCAAGATGGATTCTTTCCCTTTTAATTATTTGGGTTTCCCCCTCGGAGGGAACCACAAGACCACTAGTTTTTGGGCTCCAGTGGTAGACAAAATGCACAAAAGACTCCAAAAATGGAGTTTTTTGCTTCTTTCCAAGGGTGGTAGGCTTACTCTTGCCCAGTCGGTCCTCAATAGCATCCCCATATACTTCTTTTCGATTCTCAAAGCTCCAGAGACAGTCATAAAGTCTATGGAGAAGCTTATGCGGGACTTTATATGGAACGGTGGGATTTCTAGATCGGTGGGGAATTTGGTAAAGTGGTCTTGGTCGGCTTTGCCTCATAAACAAGGGGGCCTTGGAATTGGTTCTTTGAGGTTAAGGAACAATGCTCTTTTAATGAAATGGTTATGGAGGTTCACAGTGGAAAGGGATAGCCTTTGGAGACGGGTGATAGCCACTATTTACGGTGTGGAGTCTTTTGGTTGGTGGACAAAACCTTTGGGTGGTTCTTCTATCGGAAGACCGTGGAGGGACATACAAGGGAACCTTAAAGCTTTTCAAAAGTTCTCCTTCTTCAAAGTATCCTCGGGTGCCCAAGTCAGATTTTGGGAGGACCCATGGATTGATTCTGCCCCTCTTTCCACCACTTTCTCAGATTTGTTTGCGTTATCCTCCAACAAAGGTATGTCCATCGCAGATTGTTGGTGTACAGAGGCCTTAACCTGGAATCTTGGTTTCAGAAGGAATCTCTTTGAAAGGGAAATGAGTAGATGGGCAAACTTCACTGGAAAAATAGAAGGTGTAGCTATCGGAAATGGAAGGGGCATTTTATGGTGGAAAGCGGACCCATCCGGCCGTTTCACAATCAATTCAGCCTTCATGGCCCTCACGTCCCCTTCTCCTCAACTTAATTTAGCTACTGCAAGCTTGATATGGAATTTTAGAGTCCCAAAGAAGGTAAAATTCTTCATTTGGACTTTGTTCTATAGAGGGGTAAATACCGCAGAGAAACTTCAAAGGAAAATGCCTCTTTGGACTCTTTCTCCCTCTGTGTGCACAATGTGTATAAGCAACAATGAAACAGTGGACCACCTTTTTCTCCATTGCCCTTTTGTGTCCAAAGTTTGGGGGTTTATAGCTTCTTTGCTAGATTTCTCTCTCTGTATTCCTAGAAGAATTGAGGATTTCATTGCTGAAAGTTATGGAGGAAGGCAGCTCAAGGGCAAAGCTTGGGTTCTTTGGAATTGTGCAGCTCGGGCTCTTTTATGGTCGATATGGAAGGAACGGAATTGTCGGCTTTTTGAAGATAAGTTGATTTTGTTAGATTCTTTTTGTGTGAATATTAAGCATCTAGCTTCTTGGTGGGCTATCAAGAAAGTTTGTTGTAACTACAATCTTCTTTTGCTTACACAAGATTGGAAAGCGGTGATTGTATAGAGCTTTGGGGAGGGTTAGCTCTACCCTCCGCCTTTTGTTTGTATCCCCTTTAGGGGCCTTCTTGTTTTGAATACACATATTTTGTTTCTTATAAAAAAAAACACTTCAAAGTTGATTATCCGCCAGCAACGAATAGCAAGCATGTGCGAACTCTACTGCAATGTGGCGTTGCAACATGCGGACCCAGAATAGCCTCCCCCCTCGATATGCCGACATCACGCGAGTGAAGTGGTATCTTCGGTCACTGCCATCTGAAGATCACAATGGTACTTGTCGATTGAGGACATTCAGAAGAAACATAAGGAGTAGGTATTGAATGTGTGGTCCGGCCTTCAACTGGGGGAAGAAGAGAGATTTTATTTCAGCGAGTCTAAGGGAAAAATGGTTTGAAAGAAATCACCACCGTGGCTGAAGCTAAAGTGTTGTCACGTGCCCAGACTGACTCACTAACTTGATGCTTGTCGGAGCCCAATCAAAAAAAGACTGAAGTACTAACAATGAAAGAAGAAGTAAAGAAGAAACAAGGAGAGATGTGGCAAAATTTGAAAGTTAACTAGAAAGACAACGAAACACGAAAGCATAGAAAAGAAAAGGAAGGAGAAGGAATACGAAGAGCCAACCAGAATATTAATGAAATTTGATATTGAAAATCGAGAAGGGGAGACTGAAAAGGTGAATAAAATAAGGTTTGAATTAATTTATTTGAATACGTGGGTGGGTTAGGTGGGAGTCTTGAGATGGGTGTGTATCTATTAAACCCTTTTCAAATTGCCGACAAAAGAAATTCAAATTTCTACTTTTTTTTTCTTTTAACAAGAAACAAACTTTTCTTAAGGACAAATTTTTAAGGATACAAACTCTCAAAGGGAGCAAAAGAAAACAAAAAGGAAAAAACAGTCAAATGATGATCAAAAATCCAAATAATACACGAGAAATAAAATATTGACGAACATGAACAAGGAAATTATATGCAGTTTTTTATACTTTTTTACTTATTTTGAAGTTAGTTAATGTTTTCATCACATTTAAAAGAAATATTTTAGCTATTTATTTCACTATGTTAAGTTTTTGTTCGTGTATATAAATTTTAATGTTAGTTAAAAGTTGAAACTTACGATATACATATACGATATGTAATTATACATCATCCACTAAATTTTAATTCCGATACTCGTTCCATTTCACGAGTTAGCAACCTTGCTTTAGACATATTATCCTTTCTTCCCCTTTTATATTATTTACTTTATGTTAATTTTGTAGTTGTACACTAGTCTATATACATCTTTAGTGAATGGAATATAATATATAATTCAAAAACAAAATCTAAATTTAATTTAAAGAAAAACTTCAAATTTATTGCAGCAACAGATGTAAGGTGGGAAAAGAAAGAAAATTACAAGTTTAAGGGTTCACGTAGAAAGAGGATAATTTGATTTAAAAAAGCAAGTTAAATAAGAAAAATAGTTACCTTTGGCCTTGCTACTAAACATTCCTGCGACAGCTGCTAGGCTTTCTTCACTCGCCTCATTGACCTACAATATTTATATCGTTTGATTAGTAAATGGTTCGACATTTATGCCTTTTTTTATAGATTTCTAATATTGTTTGTTTTTGTAGTTGGAAGAGATCTAATCACAGTACTTCAAGTTTGCAGATGCATTATATCATTTATGGTTTGAAAGAAACCAAAGGATTTTTTAAGGAAAAAGAAGAACAGCTTTGGAAAGCTTCAGTTCAAATGTTCTTAATGGTGTGCTCTATCCAATCTCTTTTATAATTATTCTCCTAGTATGATTTACTCTAATTGAGAGGCCTTCTTGTCTACTGTTTAGCCTTATTGTCTGCTGACTGTTTTGTTTGTACTCATTTATCTTGTACTTGTCCTTTTATTTGATTTCATTACTTCATCCTTTCGGGGGTTTATATCTTTGAACAATTACTATTCCGGTCTATATCTTTGAACAATTACTATTCCCTTTTATATATCAATGAAGAGTTCGTTTCTTGTTCAAAAAAAAATAGTATTCATATCCCCTCTATCTTGGTTTGGAATATCCCTAACAAATCCTTGATTTTGTTGAAAGTAATCCTCTTCATTACTAGAAGAATCTGACTTTTGGTCCCTCACACATCGTTCTTCATTTCTTTGATCATGACCCATACTTTCCACTTCCGGGGTCTTGGGATATAATCTTGGTCTAATATTTGCTCCACCTCAATTAATGGCTCCATCGCCCCTTGAATCTAATTTTTATTGGTAGAAAGAAGCTCCAATTGTTTAGACATGTTATCTAGTAGCCTATGAATGTCGCTTATATTTCGTAATTCACCCAAGGAGTCTTCCACCAACAGCAAGCATTCGATTGTAGACTTTGGGGAAAGAACTTGTGTTGCTTGAGGGTCTGCTGTGAGGCTGGTATGTGTTGTGCTCTTCCCAGCCATCAAGTCCTAAAATCTTTTTAGGGCTCTGATACCAATTTTGGTGTTATACCAAAGAAAGAAAGTTATTTACATTCATTAACCTCAAAAAATACAAAAAGGCCAGCTTTTATAATAGCTTACAGCCATGACTGCAACCTTTGCGGAAGCAGAAACTCTCCTGCATGGCTCTCATTATCATCGGCGGATATGCTTTTCTATTAGCGGGGGCCAACAGTAACAAAGTTGGTTAGATGGAATAACTAACCCGCTGCACTAACTAACAAAATTAACAAGGCTGCAAAAGAAGGCTTGTAAGATAAAACTTAAATAAGCTAGTAATGCTACTAATGAAGTTACATCATTTCTCCATCAACTAGATGAGAAAAATATTTTCTCAATGGTGATCTTCAAGAAGAGGGTGCTGGGAAAAATCTTCTTTGAGTTGAGTAAATATTGAGGAAAAAAGGGTGCTGCAAACTGCAAGAATGCTAAATTGTAAGGCTGATTGTTTGCTAATTTTATACTTAGGCCTGCCTTTGGGAGGAAATCTTAAGCATGTTGAATTTTGGAATCTGGTTCTGGAGAAGATTTCTATAAAGATTGATAGGTGGAAGAGATATCAACTTTCAAGAGGTGGTAGGTTGACATTATGTCAATCTTTTTTAGATAGTATCCCATTATACCATTTATCTCTGTTTCAAATGACTGTGCAGGTTTGCAAACAATTGGAGAAAAGCTTATGATCTTTTTTATGGGGCGATTCTTTAAAAGGTTCGGTGAAACATTTAGTTCATTGGGATATCACCTCTCAACACCGTGATTCAGGAGACTGGGAATTGGTAGGTTGCTAATGAAGAACAAAGCCCTTCTATCTAAATGGGGGTAGAGGTTTAACTCTGAACCTTCAGCATTATGGCATTTGGTGGTTGCAAGCATATACAGTACTGATTGTTGTAATTGGAATGCAGTGACTAAAAAGCATGGTTCTAGGTGTAGCCCTTGGAATCATATTAATAAACAGTGGATGCTGGTGGAAAACTTCTCTCAAGTAAGGGATGGCAAAAGGACCCCTTATGGGATGGATATGGGACCATGAATGGATGGGCAATTCTGCTTTTTTTTTTTTCATCGAGATACTAACTTTTCATTGAAGATATGAAAAGGAACAAAATGTTCAAAGTAGTGTTTTTGAGGAGCAAGGCGCATCTCAAGGCAACAAGCCCTTTGATCGCCTTGAGGCGAGAGGCGATACAAAAGCAACGGTCGAGTGAAGCGAGACGCACTTTGATAAATAAATAAAAATTATATATATAGTGCATAAATTTATATACATAGTTTAAAAAATAAATACCAAAATAGTATCATAGTAAATGTCAACAAGATACATAAAACAACCAAATTCAATAAGTTTAGTCGGAGACGGGAGCGGCGATGTTGATGGTCGGAGATGGGAGCGGGCGATGGCCGGTGATTGAGGGTGGTGAAGGTGAATATCGAAAGGTATAGAGAATGGTTAGGGTTTGTGGACTGAGGTATTTCGCGAGGGAGAAAGGTTCTTTTAAAAAAAACACATTAAAAATTTTAAAATATATATATATGAGGCAAATCACCTCGTTCATAACGAGGCGATCGCCTGGCCTCAAGCGAGAGGCGCACAAAGGCGCACCGAGGCGAGCGCCTGGGCACCTGGGCGAAATCGCCTCGCCTCTCACGTGAGGCGATCGTCCGGGTGCGCCTCAATAACACTGGTTCAAATATACAAACTCTCGAAAGAGTGAAAAGAAATGGTAAAATACATGGAACTACAAAGGACTAATAAAAACACCTCGATTATTAAAAATAAGAACTGGGGAATAGTTTGAAAATGAATACACAAGAGAACACCAATGAGAAGGCTTGAACTTAGCGGAATTGAGACATTCAAGCACGGGTCTTGGGACAAGAATGGATTGGCGATTCTGCTTTAAAAATCCAGTTTCCCTCTTTATACAGCATTGCTTCCTTTCCTGCCATTACGATTTACGATGCTTGGGACAGATTCACTTCTTCTTGGAGGGTGGAAACAAGGAGATCACTAAAAGATGAGGAAATTGAGGAGTTTTCAGCCCTTTTGTCATGCCTTTCCTCGTTCATTCCGTGCAACAGGGAAAATCTTAAATATTGGAGTTTGGAGTCTTCGGGATTATTCTCTGTTAGTTATTTGTTGAAGCTAAGAAACTCTATACTGGATTTGCCTAAACTCTTCAACCCTATACTTTGGGATTCGAGAAGTCTGAAGAGGGTTAATGTACTGGTTTAGATTCTTCTGAGGCTCCTCTTCAAAGTACACACCACTACGGGCCCAAACAAAGAGAAACTGTCACTAAATACGATCCAAGGTATTGACTTTCTCAAGTAAAACCTGCCACCCAAAGAATTTATCTTCTTTGGTATTTTGAGTGATCACCAGCACTATCTCCTTCAATTAGAGAGCTTTTATCGAGGGGAGATAGATTTTATACCATATTCAATTGAAGGAGGGGCAGAATCCGATGAACATGTGACCGTAAAGGTACCCCCATGTACAAAAAGTAGAGATAGAACGGATGGTCGGAGAAATGTTGGAAGCAGGGATCATCCAACCTAGCATCAGTCCTTATTCCAGTCCGATAATTCTTAAATCCTAGTTAAGAAGGATGGGAGTTGGAGGTTTTGCGTGGACTATAGGGCCACCGTGCCGGACAAGTTTCCTATACCAGTCATTGAAGAACTCCTAGATGAGTTGCATGGTTCCAAAGTATACTCAAAGATCGATCTACGCTTGGGATACCACCAGATACGGGTGGCTAAAGAAGATGTATCCAAGACTGCTTTCAGAACTCATGAAGGCCATTATGAGTTCCTCGTAATCCCCATTCGAGCTCACCAACGCCCCCTCCACCTTCCAAGCATTGATGAATCAAGTATTTAGACCTTTCTGGCGAAGATTTGTGTCGGTATTCTTTGATGACATACTGATTTACAGCCCTGACATCGACACCCACATAACTCACTTGGCTATGGTTTTTAATGTGCTGCGAGATAATGACTTGTACGCCAATCTGAAAAAGTGCACCATTGCACAAGAAAAGATAGAGTACTTGAGGCATTGTGTGTCGGCCCAAGGAGTTGTGGCAGATCCAGAGAAGGTTAGGGCAATGTTGCAACGGCCACTACCCACCAATATCAAGGAGCTGAGGGGATTTTTGGGGCTCACTGGTTATTACAAAAGGTTCGTGGAGAACTACGGCGCCATCGCAGTGCCCCTCACTCAATTGCTAAAGAAAGATGCGTTTGGGTGGAATGAAGTAGCAACACAAGCCTTTGAGGAGCTCAAACGAGCCATGGTGACCCTCCCTGTTCTGGCTCTACCGGATTTCATGATACCATTTATGGTGGAGACCAATGCCTCCAGCTATGGATTAGGGGTCGTACTGTCTCAGAACCAGAGATCGATTGCCTACTTCAATCACACTTTATCCACACAAGTCCGAACGAAATCTATATACGGAAGGGAGATGATGGCAGTTGTGTTAGCTGTCCAACGGTGGAGACCTTACCTGTTGGGTCACCGGTTCATAGTCCGGACGGATCAACGGGTGGGTATCAAAGTTGCTAGGATATGACTTTGAAATACAATACCGGCTTGGGCAAGAGAATAAGGCAGCGGATAGCCTCTCGCAGATGCCACCTACGGGTCAACTAGTGATGCTCTATGTGCCTAAATTGCTGGACCTCGAGGTGATAAAAAGAGAAGTGGCAAGGGATCCCTTGGGTTGAGTTCTGGTATAATACTACATATCACGTCGTGATTGGTCGACTCCGTTCTAGCTGGTGTATGGTCGAGATCCTCCAGTCCTTATGGGATATGATAACATGAAAACAACCAATGCTACCTTGGACCAGCAGCTGGCGGAGAGAGATGTGGCATTGGATCGCATTAAGGAACACCTGAGAAGAGCTCAAAAGCGGATGAAGTTGTTTGTTGACCGCAAACGAAGGGACTTTGAATTCAACGTGGAGGAAAGGGTGTATCTGAAACTGAAGCCATACTGCAAGAAGTCGGTGGCCAAACGCAAAAATGAGAAGCTAG